ATTTCTTATTTTAGAGTCATGTGCTAGAACAAAAGAGTGGTGAGTTCGATTTAAATTTATAAATTTGAAGTTATATTTATACCACTTCTTTCCGGTTCACATGAGAAAATGAATACTAGTGAGTTCGATATTTATTAAAGAATAGACAACATTATGCATATGTTTTTTTTAGGTTCTTGTAATAAAATGAATTATGATGAGTTTGATGTAAATTACTTAATAGAGAAACAATATTGATGTTTCTTGTTTTAGATTCACGAGATGGAATAAAAGAATGGTGAATTCGATTTAAACCTATATACTAAAGAGGTAACTTATACCTCTTGTTTCAGGTTCACATGATGAAATAAGTACTGATGAGTTCGGTAATAATTTATTAATATAAAATATTAGTCATATTTCTTTTTTAGATGTTTCTGATAGAAGTAATGATGATGACCCAGGTCCAGCATTACGATGACCGTGAGCGGGTCGTAAACGATCGTTAATGATAAGGATGCGGCCGTAAACTGCCCGTATTTGACCCGTTTGGTATGCGCCGTAATACGACCGTATATCACCGTGCCGTATACGATTAGAAACGGTGAAAAACGGTTGGAAAATCCCGTATTCGATCGTTTACGAAACGACGATATACGGCCGTAATACGGCGCATACCAAACGGGTCAAATACGATCAAAAACGGCCGTTTACGACCGGGCTTGTTTCACCTGGGGAGTTAAATATTAAATAACTAATGGACTACAATAGTGACACGCTCTGTTTTATATTCATTTAGCAGAGGAAAAAAATGATAAGTGTGATGTATACGTATAAAGTAAAAGTATTGTTTATATATTTTTTTAGGTTCGAATGATAAAATATGTGGTGTTAAGTTCGATATTATTCAGTTACGCAAAAACATTATCCATATCTGTTTATTTGGTTTTTGCAAAATAATAATTAATGGTGAGTTCGATATAAGTTAAGTAGTAAGAATCAATATTCATTTCTCTTGTTTTAGATTCATGTGATATAGTATAGAATGGTGAGTTTGATTTAAATTTAGAAGTCAGAAATTATATTTATGTCTCTTTTTCAGGTTCATATGAGTAAATGAATGCAGGTAAGTTCGGTATTGATTAATTAGTAGAAATTATTTTTCATATGTGTTTTTAGGTTTTTTGCGATGCAATAAATTATGGTGAGTTCAATATAAATTAAGTAATAAGAAACAATGCTCATTTTTCTTGTTTTAGAATAATGTCATAGAATAAAAAATGGTGAGTTCCTTTTAAGCCTATAAACTTAAAGTATTATTTATATCTTGTTGTTTGAGATTCGCACGACAAAATGAATACAGGTAAGTTCAATATTATTTAATTAAGAGAAAAGAAAACATTATTCATATCTCTTTTATAGGTTGTTGCGGTATAAAGATAATGGTGAGTTCGATATAATCTTAGTAAGAAGAGAAAGCAGTGATTTCTGTTGTTTTAGATTCATGTGAGAAAGTAAAAAACAACTGGTGAGTTAGATTTAAACTTATTTATTAGATTTTATATTTGTGTCTCTTGTTTCAGATTCAGATGATACAAGAAATAATGGTGATTTTGGTTTCAAAGAATTAATGAGTAACACTATTCATGTCGTTTATTTTTTTAGTTTTTTGCCACAGAATGAATCATAGTGAGTTCGATATACATGAATTAATTGGAAACGATGTTGATATCTCTTATTTTAGATTAGTATGTAAGAATCAGAAACGGTGAGTTTGATTGAGTTTCATAAATAAAATCATATATTTCTTGTTTAGGTTCAAGTGGTGGAGTATAGTTGTTCAAGTTTGATTTAGTGGTATTAGTTGCAAAGAGATTTCATATTGGTTGTTTTTGGTACCTGTTTTGAGATAAATAATGGTGAGTTCAATTGTGTATGAATGAATGCTGATTTTCATTGTCATATGTCGTTCTAGGTTGCATTGATGTTAATCTTAATGTTGTGTTGAATTCAAAAATGTGAATAGAAATACAAAATTATGTGTACGGTTCCGGTGGATCTTGGAAAACAAGTAATGATGAGTTGATTTTTGGTTTATCAATTCGTCATTTTCCTATTTTTCTGCTGTCAGGTCCCGTGGATAACACTGCATGCATTGATTTGAAAAATCTAAGCTCTATCAATTAAAGTTCTTATTCACCTCATCTAATACTCATTTTCTGCAATCAGTTGTGCGCTGTTGAAATATTGAGGTTTTAATGGGCAAAATTCGTCTTATGATTCGTTTGATATATCCTGCTACAGATGATGGTGAGTTTTAATGTGAGAATCCGCCGTCCCTTTTGAGTGACTTATACTTATACTATCGATATGAAGAAGCCGATGAGTGTTCGCACTGTTCCCTGGTCATATAACTTACGTATTATATGTTTGAAGCTTAGATGGAATCGTAAGCGGAATCAGACTCTAGGAAATCTTTTCTCTTGTGTTCTTGTTCGATTCTTGTAAAATGCTATCGTTCTATAGTTTTTTCTTGTATCTTACCGTCTGATGGACAGTACAACATGAGTTGTGACGAATCTCAGAGGTAGACTTGATGCAACTATTCTGAGCTTCCGTTTTTGTGTAGAACTTCATGCGTCATACAGGATCTCGCTTCTTTTTTTCGAATTGAGTTGTATTCTGAAAAATATTTGGAACGTCTATTTCGACTTCAAGCGTTGCTTTTGAGCATTTCAACATTCAGTTAGTTTCGCTTCATTTCATGGTGTGCAGTATCCTATGTTTTATGAGATCGAGACAGTTGAATTCATACATGACCGTACGCATATATCTCGGCGACCCGAAAACGTCTTAACAATACAGAAAGATATCTGATTGTGGCTGTTAATCACGCATCCCAACTATGAGCTGAAGCCGATGAGGAATAGTAAATGTGAACTGGTTCTAAAAATCAGAGGGTTTAAACATTAAAGAGTCTTAGCATAGTTTAAAAGGTAAAATGTTAACGTCCAATTTTTCTGACCATGACCGGTGCTCCATTGCGGTTCCCCACTGTGGGTCTAAAACAGGAATGAAAACTGAATCATCACCTGCTTTAGGAAATGAACGGTTTAAATGTTAAAGATTTTCAGCGTAGTGGAAAAAAGGATCGTATTGACGTCCAGTTTGTCTGGACATGATCGGTTGTCAATCGCGGTTCCCGACTGTGAGTCAGAAACAGTTGGAAATAGTAAATGTATAATGGTTTCAAGAAACGTGCCATTTAAACGTTAAGTTTTCCCGGCGTAGTGAAGAAAAGGATCGTGTTAACGTCCACTTTTACTGATCGTGATTGGTTGTCAATCGCGGTTCCCGATTGTGAGTCAGAAATGGTAGGAAATAGTAAACGTGAAAACGATTGTACATTAGCGCAATGAACATATGTAAATTCCATTTAGCGTGAAAAAATGACCGTTTTCACGTCCATTTATATTGGTCCTTACTGACACACAATCGGGAACCTCGATTGGCAGCCAGACACGGTCGAAAAACTCTGCGCGTTTAAACGCGTTTTTTCATTTTTTTGTCTGCCTGGGTAAGAATCTTTTATTTTCATAATACGTATCATTATATACGTGTTGTAATATATGCTAGAAAGACAGAAGTTTTCTAGTATCGAAAGTGCAAAGTCATTCAAAATACAACTTATTCTTTAATATTTTTGCCATAATTCTCATTAACATTCAACTTAAATAATTCCACAGAAACCATTGGTTTTTAAAACAACACTTATTAAGCTAAAAGTATATTAATAGCTCTATAACTTCATCAAATTTCAAACTGGACACGCTTCTCATCGTATTAACATTTCTACCCATTGTTGTAATTACTCATCTATTTCGTTTACAATTATTCATTTTTTACTTTTTTTTGTATTAATCTTCGATAGAGATTTCAAATTTTGATGTGAATCGATTAATCGAATTGAGTCATCAAGTGACTTTCTTCAATTTTTTTTATTGCTTATGCAAGTTGCATACAAATATTGTTTTTTGTTAGTCTTTAATTTTACTAAGAAAAATAGAAATAGAAATACTTCAAACGTAACTTTTCTTGTTCAAACGATTTCGAATTTTTGTTTTTTTTTGACTTTAAATCATAAGCGAGAATTATTTTGTTTTAATAAATAAATCAATGCAACAAGAATATACAACAACATTCTTAGATTATTACAGTCGATGATATCAAAGTATGTTTGTTTATCTTCTAGAAATTCTATTTAATAATTTAATTCAATAAAAGGATTTTAAAACGATTCGTCGTCATTTTGATAATCTATATCATTCTCGACTTTCAATTAATGAAATAACTCATCTTCTATCAAATCATGAAATTGAACTTAAAAAATCAAGAAGAAAAATATTTACAATTATTGAAAGAAAAACAAATGATTGAAAAACAAATTGAAGAAATAAAACAATCAAAATTATTTAATAAAATAATTAATCAAAAAGAAAATTTTATTTCATTTCCATATCGATCATTTCATAATTTACGTCATTGACATCGGGCACCAAAATATTTAAAAATATTTTTCCAAGCTTGAGCTTATTTATTTTCAATAAAAACAAATGATTTTCTAACTGAATTAAAAATAAATCATAATCTTATTCGAAAAATTCAATTTTCTCAACCATCAGCAACTGTAGTGGATGAATTTCGGATAAATTTTTTTTATTTAAATGAAATTTCATTAGAATATATTCGAAATAAAAGTTTTGATGCTTACATAATTGCTATATGGATATATCATATAGAAAAAAAATGAACGTTTAAAACGACTTAAACAACCTGAAATAGAAAATTAAAAACAATTAAAAAGTCAATTAATTGAATTAAATTTAAATCTATCTAATAAACAAAAAGATATTCAATTAATTAAAGATAAAATAAAAACTTTAAAAGAAACCCACTCTTCAAACAGAAAAACATCATCATATATTACTTCAATCTAATTAAAAAGAAAATTTCCTTTTACTATGACAACAAAAAAACATCGAATTATTTCACAAGATAAAATTGATACTGATAATTACAATGTTGAACATCGTAAATTCATTATTAAACAATTTCTATGATATACTTGATTGTTTTGTTTGTTAGGTTTACGAGAAGCTATTGCAAATTTACCAATTGAACAAAGAATTGATCTTGATTTATCAAAAATTTATCAACAATTAATTGAATCTTTTTATACATATGAATCTCATCTAGCAAATTTTGTATTTGATCGTGATATGCATAATATAATTTATTCACTTGGATTTGTACCAGTTAGTTGTTTAGAAAAAAAAAATTTTCTATTATTATTTGTTATTTTTTGCCGAGAAAAAATATTTTTGATCACCAATTTCTTTTTTCGAGTAATGATTTTTCAGGAAAGCAACAATTAATTGCATGTTTGACGGAAGTTTAGTTCCTATTTCGCTTCCCAAAAATGTCTATTTGTAGACATATGATTCAATCACACACAACACCGCGCGAAGATGAGGGTAGTTTGTAAAAAATGAAAATTTATCCCATGAAATTGATTCGTAGATAATGTCGCTGGTAAACAGGAATTGAATGTTAGCATTCATATTCTAAATTTATCGAAATGTTACAAAAAGGCATCAAGTATATTCATTGCTGAATAGTGAAAATCACAGCAGGCAGAAGATCTAACGTAAGGAAAATTATAGAGAATAATGGAAAATTTTTAAAGTAGCTACTGCTTACTTTCGTGTATGCTCAATTAGAAGAGTTCACTAAACATTCGTATTTATACTCATATATAATATTTTGTGTCCTTGAATAGATTGTTAGTTATTTTCTGAATCTCTTTGAATTGTTTCTCCACGATGCTAAGAAGATCTTTTTTGTAGATTTTATTTTTCACCAATTGACGTCGCTCAGTTGTCTAAGATCCTAATTTTTCATTGTCTCTTCTTGAATCCTTCTACGCGATCCATACAACTCCTCATCCACAGTCATCACTTATTTTACAGGGATCAAACAGATTAATGTGCAATCAAAGTAATAAGTGTATGGCCAAAGTAATTCGCGAATTGAGTGCATGTATCTGTAGAAAAACTACATATCCATTTAGAAATATGTTTCTGCTCCAGATCAACGACATCCTGTATACTATCTGGTCTAACTAGCAGAGCACATCAAAGAGTGTGGATGCTACGGTGTTGCCGACCTGGAAAAGTACCAAAAATATTGTTTCCGAGGTTGATATTGTAATGTGCTGTCTGCTTTGTACAATGTCTTATCCAGCGTAAGAGTTGAGGGCGATACACCTCTCTGAAAATCGATTTGTTTGTCCTCTGTACCTGTGCCTCCAAAAATAGGTGTTCGCCTTCTCGGAGTTTCGAATCACTCCTCCAAAAGAGAAAATCTGGATAAAATGCTGTTTATACACAATGCTATTAACTAATTGATCTGATTGACAGTGGGGAACATCGAGGAGTGAGAGCGAGGGCAACAAAAGAGTTCCAAGGTGAAGATGTCGTCAGCCTGCAGCAGCATCTACACCTTATTGACAAATATTAAATGTAGAATGCTGAAAAAAGTTGATGATAAAAAAATACTGTCATCCTTTTTTTGTATGTAGACTCATAGTGAAATGAATGAATTAATTCTTGGTAAGATTTATTTTGAAGAAAAACATGACAACCTTCTATATTCGTTTATTTAGCTATGCGTTATCATCCATTATCACGTACAACTGAACGAGAAGAAATCGATGCTGAACATCATTTAATTCATATATATGATTTTGCTGATATAATTATACCAAAATTACTTAATAATGAATATAAATCAGCTGATGAACAATATTTATTAAAATGTTTTAAAAAACTTGATCAAAATAATAAAAATTATTTACATAAAAAATTATTTGTCCAAACAATGTCAACAATGGAAGATGCTTTAGATGAAAATGAATCCGATGATTTATTAAATTTTTTAATTAAAAATGAAAATTTATCAATTGAAAATTTACAAGATTTTTTTGATTATAAACGATATATTAAACATTTATTGCCACAACGACATCTTATTTATCTTGATCTTGGTGTTGCAAAATGAATATTTCCTTCTTCTTGGTTCTTGTTGACTAAATTAAATAAATCGAAATAAATAGGATACTTTTTTATTTATGAGAAGTCGCAAGAAAAGTCTTGTTATTGGGTAAAAAGTACATCAACTTCAATTCTTTTGCCTGATATCTTGATAAGTAGAACTCGATGAGCCCCAATTGCAAGGACCAACTTAAAGTAGATTGATCTTATTGCATCGAATTTCAGACCAAAGTGCTGGTTTTTTTCTGGAGTCCAAAAAAGGCTCTTTCAACACTTTCTTTGTTGCCTAAGATTTTGATGCATTATTATTCATTTTCTTATTAACATATACAGTTCCACATGTCTATATTGTATCAAAGATAGGATACTGCAATCTGATGTAATCCTGAGGAGTCGGTAAGCCTTTATTGTATCGGACTTCTTCCCAGCACAGAACTTCTCTCTGTCGATGGCTAAAATTGTGAAATTTTCAAAAAAAAGTTAATTAGAGCAGTTATTTCTCTGGAGAAAATTTCAAGGCCAATGGTTGAAACTAGCTGGATTTACGGGTCTCTTTTCGCCAAGTTCCATCAACTCTTATGTTAAGACTACTCAAAAATTATTTCATAAACCGCACAAACTAAAACTGTTTGACATGAATCTTTTGACTCGTCATCGAAGCAGCAATAAACTCTTACATAAGAGATCAAACGTCATGAGATATATTTTCCTATACTGACATATCCTCGTCTGAAGAAAAACTCCATGTCGATCCTCTAGTTCTTCCACATCAAGGTCAATCACATCCTGTTAGCTCTTGTAATCAGAGTTGAACTTACCCTATTTGTGACCAAAATATGAAATCAAAGGATTGAGATCTAGGTACTTTTTCACTGGAAGCGATATTTTGTGTTTACTTTATATATCAATCTAGCAATAAAGATATTTTAAAAGTATAACATGTCTTTTGAATTAATCTATTCAATCAATTTTGTACAGAATAAGAGTATGGTAAAAATTTAGATTTTTAATATCTTCACACTTTAAAGGTAGAAACACATCAATGTAATGTTATTGCTGGACATTGTATAACCATTTGGATAGTATTCTTATTGATGTATGATCTTTTAGCATATCATATCCTACTTCGTTTTATGGAACAAATTCTTCGACAATTAAATTGTTTAAGAAACGTCTAACTTTACAAAGTGAGATGAATATATTCATCTTACTTTAGAATATTGGTGTGAATTTTCTCTTCATCGAAAACTATCTACATGCTCACACTAACACTTGCATCCTCTTCAATAGATAAATGAAATAATTTGTATATAGCTCTTCAAAACAAAAATGAAAATATTCATCGGTTTTTACAAGAACATATTCAACTTTTCAATTAAAGCCATAAGTATTTTTCAATAAGCTGACCGATTGGTTGAAAGTCAATGAATTCATTCCGATTTGACTATACAGTGAATACTTCATGTTGACAGCTCTCAAAAAAAATTATCCTCACGCGAAAGAAAAGAGAAAATTTAAGTCACATTTGTCTTTCCTTTTTGTGTTCGATTTTCTCTACCTTGATAATTACCCAGCTTCTTCTGTCTGAGACTAAGCAATAGTCATGCATGAATGGTTTTGTTTTCAAATAGTGAGACGAATCAGGTGAAGGACACGCATTCACCATCATTCAGTCTTCATTTCACATCACAAACGAACACATCGACAAAAAATGACTTATCATCCTCCTCCAAAATCAAATTCTGTTTGCGATGTAACAGTATTAACTCGAGGTGGACTAACGGCACCAATGTCGATGCTCCATGCATCAGCAAAAAAAGAAGACAAAGCTTACGTACCTGACTATGCGTTTCTCATTCGACATCAACAGTCAAACACGTATATGTTGTTTGATTTGGGTATGTCGCATACAGCGACTACATATACACCGAAAACCTTCGAAATGTACAGTTCGTTTGTACCACATCTCAGCAAAGAACCGATGGATGTAGCCATCAAAAAATTGATTCCAGCAGGAGCCAAGATCAAGTATGTGGCATATTCGCATGCACATTGGGACCACTGTTATCCGATTTCTCAATTCTTTGAATCGGATGCCAATGTCATTACTCGCGATACAATCGCAATCTACGGATCGGGAACACAGAAGAAAATTTCACCAGGATGGCCACACGAAGAATCATCTCAATTCCATGCAGAGCACTTCTCTGGAAACATAAAGACATTGGAACTTCCACCAGTTGATGAAGACGGATGGGTATCACCATTTGCTACATTTGATTATGCATATGACTTTTTCAAAGATGGCTCACTCTATTTCGTACATGCACCTGGCCATATTATAGGGCATATCATGGCAGTAGTACGATTGAAGGATGATTTAATGATTATTCTTGGTGGAGACTGTTGTCACTCTAAACGAATACTGGTTGGCAAAGAACAAATTGCTATATTCGAAGACGGTACATCATTACACGAAGATATTGAGGAAGCTAAGAAGACTATTAGACGAACACGCGAATGGATCGATCAGTCTAATGGAACAGTTGGCATTATTCTTGCTCATGATGGTGAATGGAAAGAAGCTCTTCCAAGCAAGATTGCAGAACTAATCCAAGTTGCCTAAGCTTTATCTTTAGAGCCACTGTTCGTAAACGTCAAACAATATTCTATATAATTAATTTAAATTTCAAATCTTAAAATATACAATAACGTTGAAAATTGATCATACACCACTCACAAAACTTACTGAATACTTTACTTGGTACTTCAGTCTTTTCAATAAGAAAACATATTTGTAAAGTGTTTTAACGAAATTTCACTTACTTTGTTTTGGTCAAAACATTATACAAAAATGCAATTTCTCGTTCAAAATGATGAAATACAAAATTTTTTAATCGTAATATGTCCTTATTTTTTTTCGTGAAGGTGTGTGATCAATTTTGAGCGATATCAAAGCGTGTCATTTTTAGTATTTTTAGTTCAACATAATAAATATATGATGAAATCATTTTGAAATATCAGAAAAACAAAGCGATTGATTAAATGTATGACCAATTTTGAGAGACACTATACATGCTTCATATATGATTGTGGTATTATGGGGTTCACATGAATATTAACTAAAGTAAAATAAGTTAAAAGTTTTATAGCAATGAATGTAGATTCATCTACTCTTTTCTTCTCTTATCATGTTGATTAGAGATAGTTTCAATCAAATAATAATGCAATGGAGAGAGAGATGCTTTCGATTTAACATCCTTATAAATGAAATCCATTTGCTAGCTACATGTTTGATAAAACAATATTTTATTGTTATGTAATGATCGATCATATTTTGATCAGTCAAAAGATCTAACTCACAAATCATTGGATAACAATTAAAATGCGAATTTTCTTTTAATCAGTAGTCTAGAATCGAATGCGTTAATTCAAAATCTACTTATTCATAAGATTAATGTTACCACATATTTTACTTGGTCGTTTTATCCGTATCAACAATTTCACGAAGTATCGATTGTAAAATGTTCCATTAAAAGGAATAAGAACTTTTCAAATCATGGCGCATATTCTCTTATGTTAGTCACTTATAATGATAATTTGAAAACAAAAGTTTATCGTTTAATTAGCTGAACACATATATTTCTTAAGATATTTCTGTATACTTTTTTTTTTGCTTTCATCAGTGATCAACTCAACATATCAATCAACGATAATATTACTTTATTCATATCAGAAGTCTCATCAACTAACTATTGTGCTAACTTTCTGAAAAACCTTATCTATTCGTATGTTGATCATGATTATATAACAAATGGATTACAGGATTTACTTTCCGCGGATTTACTTTCCATCGATTATTTTTGACTTTAATTGACTTTTTTTCAGAAAAAAAATGTCTTTTTTGCTGTCGAGGATTTACTTTCCATTGATTAAAAAAAAAATTTTATTCTAATTAGTCGTTTTCTTAATTATGGATTTACTTTCCGTTGATTGTTTCGTAGATGAGTGATGAGCGAACAAGTTATCATTCTGATAATCAATGTATTGTCAGAGAAAAATTACAATAAATATATAGACAACAAGAAAAAAGTTTCAACAAATATTGAATAAATAAGGAAATAAGGAAAAGAGATAACTATTTATTTTTTTGGTGCACGTTGAAAGTATCTCAACCCAGCTGCTTTTAAGAATGCTGGAATATCAATACGACCTTCATCATAACGTTGCCATAATTTCATCAAACATTCATCTGAAATAACATTGTTCTTGCGACGTTTTGGAGTTGAAGCCCCCAGGTCGTCTTGTAATCTCACAATAGAGGCTAAAGCTTGTTCTTTTTGTAGTAAATCAATTGCGACATATATATTTGGATGTGGAGAATTAACGTGTTTTTTCATAGGATTATGTCGACCTTCTAAATAGTTAATTGTTCGAGGTGTAATATTACGATAATGATTGTACAAATGTGGTGGAAATCGACTGAACGGCCCAAATGTATTATGATGATAATCAAGAAATGCTTGAATACCTGGATAATTAGTTCTAATACCCACTAAATATTGTAAACCCCATAACATATGATGCAATGGTAATAATGATATTGCTGCGAGAGATCGAAACCAATCTCGAAGATTTTCGTCGTTTTTATATGGTGTTTTTAAACCAATATCAACAAATTTACGGAATAAAGCTCGGCCGTAATGGAATAAACAACCGCGAACAGTAACAGTTGGATAATGTTTGGCAAATACATTAGCAACACCTAATTCAAAATCAATGGTAATGGTGCGTCATTTTATGAATAATTGAAATTCCATCATTTTTCTGAATATTATTGCAAATAAATCAAAATAAATTTCTTCAGATTTACCTCCAAGTAATGCAAAGACACATGGAGTAGAAATTCCATCATAATATGCATGAATAGAGTAAATCTGATAAAAGATAGATGGACATGTATAAAATGTGCCATCACTATACCAATGTTGTTGTTGTGATAAATAA